CGATATCCGCGCTTGCGACATATTTAAATTGTCGAAATCGAAGCAAAATAGAAAAGATATCATTCTGTAAAGCAGGTCCGACATGCTGTATATCATTCAACGATTCGCCCGACGGAGATTTAACACTCGCATCAAAAACGACCCTAAGTTTAGTGGTCGAGCTATGTTCTTTGTAAACGCCATGATGTGGTATGAAATAGCACGGGAATGAATAGTTATTAATGCGACTCATATGACCTAATTTTAAATACTCTCTCATAAAATCTATATACATTTGTCTATAGGACGGTGCGCAACGAAGAAGTTTACTCTCAAGCGCATAAAACCTGTTCTCGGCTATCGTAAACGTATCGTGAAGCGCATCAGCTGATTTACACAACGGAATACGTACAGAAAAACGGCCTTTATTGTCGCGCAAAGTAGTATGTTTAAATAAATTTTCGCATGCACGTTCACCTTTAGTGAGGTGTTTATAATTTGAACTTATCTCTTCTAGCTCCCAAAATCGTTTGATTTCTTTATCTAATTGTAAAGTATGAGTAAAGTTACATTGAATTTGTTTTACATGCGAAGCCCTTCTCTGCACCGATCCCGATATTATCCAACCTAATTGTGTGTTTTGTAAGTAAGGGCCGTTAGGTAAGCGAATTAAACCCTCACTTAGCAATTCCCAGAACTTATCTGCGCCTATTAATAAGTGTATTTCGTTAGGTAAATAAAATTCTGGGTCTGCGAGTTTTATATTGTCGGGTATTTCTAATTTGTGATTAACACCCAATGAAGGTAACTGCGATGTAATGCGTGATAAAACAAGACAGTTAAAGCGTGTGTTGTACGAGCTTGTTTTAGAACGCAGTTGGATGTCGCATGATTGTGTGGATTGAGAAATAGAATTACCTACTCCTATGACCTGAACAGTGGACTGTAGTAATGATATATTAAGTGTTTTGCACAGTGTTTCGGATATGAAACAGTGCTGGCTCCCATTATCTAGAAGCGCTCGTGTTGTGTGATATTTATTATTTTTATCTGCGATCTCCACTAATGCAGTCGATAATAACACCGGATTGAATGAATAATGCGTGTTGATACTATTATCCTTGTAAAGCGTGTGAGATTTGTGAGATGCAGTTTGAGCTATGTGTGTGGGTATGATGTCTGTACTACCTTCTGATTGTTGTGAATTTTGTGATGAATTTGTGATATATGATAATGTACTATTGTGATCGTTGTGAATTAGTGTATTATGTTTTTTGTTACAACGCTTGCATGGTCCGAACCAACATTCGTCTACAGTATGACCGTTGCGTAAACAGTTACAACAGAGCTTCTTCTCGTTAATATGTTTTAATTTATCCTTGAGAGATAAGCTAAGGAAACGATCACATGAATAAATAGGATGATTTGAATTGCACATATTGCATTTGTAACGCTGAGAGTTAGACGATCTACTACTTGTGTTTGTTTTTTGTTGAGTGGTGCTAAGATGACTGTGTGATTTTTTTATGTTTGTGTTTACTGGACCATCCGATTGCTTGTTTTGAGGTTTAACAGTTTCGAGGAAATCGGCTCTGTTCCTCAAGAATGACAATAAATCAGTGAGCACTATTCTTCTATCCGAGGATGCATTCGTGACTGAACCCTTGTGGAGTTCCCATTCTCGCTCGGTAGAAGAATCTAGTTTCGTAGCTACTATGTATATTATTAATGTATCCCATGAGTCGGTGGGTTCGCCCAAAGTTTTCAGTGCACGAATGTTCCTTAAAACAGTGTCAACCAGCTTACGTATTTGTGACGATGCTTCTTTACTCATAGATTGAATGGTGAATAATGCCTTGACGTGATTGTGAACTAATAGACGGCTATTATTGTATCTATTTTGTAGAAGGTCCCAAGCTGTTAGATAGTTCTCAGAAGAGAATTCTAAGGCTTTTATAACGTGAAGTGCGTTACCTGTTAGAACTGAACGTAAATAATGAAACTTTTGAACATTATCGAGACTATTACTATTGTGGATGAGAGATAAATATGTGTCGCGGAACTCGAGCCACTGGTCATAAGTACCGTCGAAATTTGGTAAAGAGATTGTAGGTAGTTTAATCGTGTTAGGAGTACAATTTTTAACACTTTTCGATGAAGCTTCTACCTTTAAAATACATTTACATTTGGCCACGATAGCATAGTACTGGTTCTCGAAAGATTCCCTTTCTTCTAATTCTTTGTCTACTTGAGTACCTTCGACCATCAAATCTAAATCATCTTGGATTTTAGAGAACTGATCGAATAACACTGAGGATCTCTGAAAACGTTCTTGTAACTCAGCCTTTTGAGTTTCGCTAATTTGTGAAATATCTAATGAATTAACATATTTAGAAAATAACGTAAATTTGCCCTTAACAACACCCCGTTTTTTAACGAATTCCCGTATAATATCGTCGCTACTTTCAAGATCTACGATTGATTGCCTTTTTTTCGTCATATTGGTGGTTGTGAGTGGTGAAAATCAAGGTACTTACAGTTCTGGTGAATTTGAATCTGCACAAAATAACGGCAAGGTAGACTGACACAAGTAGATGAGACCGGTAAATCAAACTGGAATGTATACAGGGTAACGATGTTAGCACACACTGAACACAGAGGATTTGGGAAGGAGAATTGAAAGGCCTGACCTGCTGCTGGTTGTTGGCGTTGCTGCTCACGATGATCCGGCTCGAGGGTCCAAATCTTATGTCAATTTGTGTATGTTCTTCTGGTGAAATATTCAGGTCGGTAGGGCTTTCTTCAATGAATTCCTTTATTTTAATTATATTTTATTAATGCGTATATTTAAGGTAAGTAGTACAGACAAAATTCATTTGGTAAGTGTCCTCGTTACAAGTGTGATCTATATATATAAGCGATCGTTGACATTTTCAAAAAGTAACGAACCAAATACAATCAAAAGAGCGTTACTTCCTGTTTAAACTTCAATCCCCTCAGTTCCTTTCCAAGGTCCTAGATGGCGCTAGACGTTCTTAACAGTACCAACTTATCGAATGACCCTATCAGTGATGGAGCGCAGGTCAAATGCACATCTGTTTGATATTATGATGAACAGAGTTTTGTCATGGTTCTAACAGATGCAATAAGTTTATTATAACTCAGCAAATATATAGATAATATAGGAAGCGAACAGATGTTAAGTATACAGAGAGATGGGAGCTACTCTACTCCTCAGCAGATCCGGCTCTTTATTGATCATATATGCCTTTCGGCTGTATACTTTAGGGAGTATACGAAAGACATGGGTACATTATAAATCTAAGTCAGAGGTGTTCATAAAATAAACTAACCTTCCCCCTACCTCCCCCTCCCCGTCGAACATACTATAGTTAAACCGCCGTAAGCTTGGCCCTCCTGATGGTTTGCGGGACGCGGGGCGGGTGATGCGCTCGGCTATACATGACACGATGTACTAACTCGACATCTTCAGATTTATTTGCTTGAGATTTAATCTACACACGATGTCATAAAAATCGAATTTATTTCCATGTATTATAACGTCAGTGTATTGTAATTTTTTATGATTATTTGCTTATTTATTTGCTATAAGCTTACGGCGGTTTCACTATACTTAGCAATGAGCAATATGTCACACACTGTTGGCTTTAGTATATAAAGAACAAAAGTATATTATCAGTTTCCCTGTATAAAATTGATAATAATGTTAAACAATAGAGTGGGCGTAGAGAGAATAATTATTTCACCAGAACATAATACTATTTATTCTAAATTAATAAACAATTGAACTTTACCTAAAATAATGATTTTTGTTTTAATTCGTTACCTCAGATCCCTATCTTTACATAGTTTAAAATGAAGCCGCTTCCCGTTCTTGTACGCTTAGCTCTATCAAACTACGCAAAGGATTTTAATGCCGTTTTTATCAAATAGTGAGTGCATAATACGTGCGTTATATATGCATATTATAGTAGACGATATCGGAAAATTTCAAAGATTTATAATTTGATGACGTAAAAAAACATGTTCTCATGAACTTACATTGCAAATGCTATCTTTACCTTACGAGATAGATCAAATGATATACTATGGAATGCTTAATCCAAAAAAAAACTACAGAAAAGTCCGCGTCTGTCTCTTGAAGATAACAAAAAGTAACCATTTCTATCTTTTAGATATTACAAAAAAAGGGGTTACTTATGAAGTTATTTTTAACAACATCATCACATCAACAGGCTTTAATAGTCCACCGCTGGACATAGGCCTCTCCTTAGAAAGGAGGTAACAACAATACAGTATTATTCCTTTTCCAATAAAATACCTTAGATGCATTTGTGGATTAAAATTGCCCTTTACAGCATATCGCTAAAAAGAATATTAGAGATTTAAAATGCGGGGCAGAACGGCAGTAGGGCCGCGCGTATGTGTCGGATGCCAGCGGCCGCCAGGTGCGAAAAGTGCCCATAAATCTATATGTACTAAAATTATAAAGCTGATGAGTTTGTTTGTTTAGTTGAACTCTCTAATCTCAAAAAGGAACTACTTGTTCAAATTGAAAAAATATTTTAGTGTTGGATATCCCCTTTATTGAGCCTTACACAAAATCATAGATTATAACTTTACACTATGACCAATAAGAGTCGTGAATCAATGAAGTGTTGAAAAAAACGCTGAATATTTATTCCTTTTAAATGGGCGAAAACGAACTTGAGTGGTTTAGCTCGTTATTTATAAACCTCCTTTGAGAATTCTGTTTTTATTTGGTAGAGAAAACTTCTGGTTTTGTTGAATTCAAGCATAAAAAAGAAAATACAACCTTGAGTGGACAATTAAGGAATAAAGAAGTTTACTAGAATTCATACAATAAAGGCACACTAAAGTCAATGTTACTTGTTCAAAAGGTATTTATGTCTTTCTAAATCTCACTATTGCGATTCTATAAAAATTAAATCATATATTTTTAACTACAGCCCACTCAGATATTTCAAAAAGACACTTACCAGTCATAATAACAACAGACACAATGGTGAGAATGAAAAACCCATTCTGCCAGTCATCCGTGTTCACCTGTACCATGGCAGTAGTGATCAAAAAGCATACTGTGACCACTATTAGAGACCCTTGAAGTCTGCTCTTTGTTGACACTCTACAATAAATTTATCAGGTTTAGGATTATGTCATAAAAGATTAGAAAGTTATAAATCACTAGTGGATTTGCAAGTGACAGAGGAACAACAACCTTTTCTTTAACAAGACATAAATATAGTTTTAACATTTTGATACCTTTCCACCATAGTGATTACGGTGTGACTCACTCAATTGGATTTATGAATTACAAACTGATTTATGATATTTGTTGGCACTTTCAACTGGATAAATATGATGGCTTGATATTTTGAAGAAAAACAGTGTGATCTTCATGTAAAGTATGATTATGAAAGTAACAGTTCATCAAAAGTTTCACTGTTCTATTCTAGAAAGGAAAGATTTGCAACTTATGCATACTCGTTAGAACTTCTTTATTGATATGCTATTTGCTTTCCTATTACTAACACTAATTAGCTCAGTTCTTAATTAGTGATATTTGGACAATTGTGTAATCAATTACTATTTAAATTATCTGAATAAATATTGATATAAGATAAATACAACTCGCATTCAACCTTGTTTTAAAATGGCAAATAAGAAGTAAAAGAAATAATGTTTTACATTTTTTTTTTACTTAAAGAGTACCTAGTTACTATGAATAAAAAATATATAATTACATATACTAGCAACATAATAAATTCATATGATATGACTCATTTAGACAATATGTAAAATGGATTGGCTGTTCTAAAGTTCATAAATTAATAAAAGATAACTTCATTGTAAACTATTATTTGTACTTACAAGTGTCCATATAAGGAGTTGAGAATTAGAAATATCAAGTTAGGAATAGCAGTAGCCACATTAAGATATGAAGTAAACTCGGCCTGGAATTGTGTCTTTCGTACTATCCTTGTCAAGTTACTGGGATTCACTTCCCGGAATTTGTACATCCAATACTGAAATTTTAAATTTATTTAAAACAAATTCTTAACATTTCAATGTTTAGTGTGCGTATAGTTGTATAACAAAAAGAGTGTAGCATGTTTTAGAACTGACCTTGATGCAAGGTAAAAATAAGGTTACATATACTAGACTAATCATCACTATGAGGTATCGTTTTCGAATTAAACATATAATTGTGTACTTACATCATTAGCGGTGATCAAAAAATTCCAGGACACAAGAGAAGTTATTCCAAAGAGGTAGAACAGTACATAAACAATGCGAAATTTATCGCGAGGTTCTACGACAGAATTTAAAACCTTTGTCGAACATGAGTCAGTTACAAGTTCCTTCTCTTCGGAGTCGTCAAAAATGTCGTCCTCATGCTCAATATTCTCTAAGGCGTCAGTATTAATAGATCCTGTTGGATCCATTGTTACAAACCAATTTTTTATATCTTAAAAAGTTTATAAACGTAGTTTTTGTAGTCCCTAAGACATAACAATTTATTCTTAATTCACTATTTCAACATTTTTTATGATGTTAGATTATTTAGCATATACTTATAGTTAACACTTAAGTACAGAGAGTAAAATAAATTAATATTAAAATGTATAGTACTTTTTGCAGCTATTGATAAACGTCTTCATTGACTTTTATAGCAATAGAATTGAATGAAGGCACAACAACAGCTGTCAATTTTAATTGCGTCAACATTTGCGACAAATACGGTTTCTGATTGGTTGAAATTAAACAGACTTATAAGAAAACCACAGTCTAACTAGAAAATTACAAACGAACGGTAATCACGAATGTATGAGTGAATACGTTGCCTAAGCTCGTGAGAGACATTGGTGTTTTGTCGTAACTTATGAGTGGTGTGATTTTGAGAATTCCAAAGAGCATTTTAATACATTTTTAAAGTGTATGTTATTTTCATATATTGTTTGATTACCTCCGTAGGTCCAGGGCCAGATTAACTATGTCAGAGCCCTGAGGCAATGCAATTCTCAGAACCCTTTTTACACATTTGAGGATTATTAGCTATTTGTAAGTCGATAAAGAGTTGTGATTAATAGCATCAGCAGCATCACCCGGCTTGTACGTAACACCTGAGGAATTCTCAGCAAAAGTATTTTATTTCAGCCTACCTTTTCTGCAGGTCTTAATGAATAGGTTATAGATAAGTGTTGATCTAGGCATCAGTAGGTATATACTAAACCTATACTATGAGATAAGACTATCACACGGTGATTTTTTAAATTTTAACTTTATTTTGTTTAATACAATTAAAAATATTAAACGTCAGGAAGTAGTTTCGTCAAGTACATAAAGTTTGAATAGATAACTTTTCTAAATTTTTTCATACAAAATTGTTTATTTCATCTTAAAAGTTGACTTTTCCTATTGGAAAAGTCAACCTCATTCATTATTAAATTCATCAAAATCATTATTAATCATCATTTTCAATAATGAATTAAAACGGATCTAAAATATTGACTAACGAAGACAGCTTTTCATTCGTTTTAATTTTGAAAAGAAAAGTTACGTTTACCCGTTGCCTTTCATATCATCAGACTTCTGTATAGTTGCAATGACATCATTCGGGAAGTTGATTGTCTCATATTATCAAAAAATAATTCAAACGATCGGCATAAAACTTTATTTTTCCAGAATCCCCACATTCTCTAAATATAAAATTGTGTGTGAATGATGTTCACTAAGTTTGGTATGTGTGTGTATATTGTGTGTTGTTGGATCAACAATAGAGAGCCCCGGCCCCACCCTGTAGAGGTGCTTGACGAGGCGCCTTGTAATCACTCTATCAAAGAGCTTGCACACGTAGTCAAGCAACACTATGGGCCGGTAGGCGGATGATGTGTCCAGTTACAGATGAAGACCAGTTGCCCCGTCTTCCACAATTTTGGAAAATGACATTGCCCGAGGCATGCGTGTGCCTTGCCTTAGATGCGTGGCTGACGTCATCTAAGGCCAGGATCCAAACTCGGCCTGGAATACCATCGGGTCCCGATTTGATCTCACAAAGTGTCATCCCATGTGGGAATCGAAGCCACAACTCTCAGCGCCGTAGAAAGTAGCAACGTGACCACTTATACCACTATGCCATCAGTGCAGTTGTATTGCACGTATTATAAATATAGGAATTTACTTTTAAGTTAACAATACCCTTTCATATTAATAATATAATTTTAGTATTATTACTTTTAACCTTTTGTTGGTAATTTTAATAATTTCGTTAAAGTTAAACATCCTATATATCTTTTTTTTTAATCCTTCTCCTTCGGCTAATAATCGACCTTCAGTCGGATACTGTTACGATCACGTATGAGTATGATACTATTTAATTAATAGTACTTTTATTCAAAATATGAAATTTGTTTTGTATGAGGCATAAGGACCGAACCTAGAGGACGTCGGCGCCGATATCAGCCGTCGACGGGGCCGCGGGCCGCCAGAGAGTGGGGACCTCTGGTAGCAGATTGATTGCTGCGGTAGGGGATGCAATGGCCGGCCTGATTGCATTAAGATGCGATCGGGCCGCCATGCCGCGATTGAAGGGGGAAGTGTTCTCCCCTGGGATAGGGCCTGATTAGGCATGGTGTCTTGGTTCGCCCGTCAGCTCGCTCGCTCGTTCGCCAGCGGTGTGGCGCTTAAAAGGAAAGAACAATTTGAGCGTCCTAACCCAGGCCACGCCACTATTGTGGCAATCAGTTTTTCCACATGACACAGAAAAAATAATCGGCATGTTCATTAATGCAATTTATAATATATCGTTAGTTAATTCTTTTTTATTTTCTTTGGTTCCGAGAATTTCTATTTGATCCTAATTTTCTTAAGAAAATAATGAAGAAGAAGGAGGGGCCCCTTCAACAACAACACACTTTATTAAGTGTTGGTATGGGTGCAAATGAAGTTTTTATAGTAATAACGAAAACATAGCTGACACACAGCGAAAGCTGAAAGGAACTTTATAGTGGGAGTTGGATATCTTCCTTTTGTCGCATTCACAGGTTTTACAAACCATCAAAAACTTATCAATGATATAAGAACAAAGTGCTCAAGCTTTAGAAATAAAACAGCATTTTAATTATCAAAATATTGTAATTAATTTTATTTATTATTCATCAAATAATAAATACCATATTTTGTCGTAGAAACTATTTTGTGTTTTACTTGTACAATTTACATTTAAAGCATGTATATTAGGTCGTTATTTTCTAATGAAGTACCTATAAAAAGTTGTAAATATAGATTATAATAAATTAAAAACTGCGAAAACACAGATTATCGTGATGTAAGTTGAGAATGACAACAAATTGAGGAGCATTCTGAAATATACAGTATTATTTTGTTAAAAAGTATAAAATTGTGAGCTAAAATAAAGTTCATAGACAAGAGAGATATCCGAGTGTCTAGTTTTGTTGTCAAACTATTTAAAAACGTAAATATAAAAGAACATACCTTATAGTAACATGATTTATAATTAAATAATACCTATATCTAAGTATGGATATGGAAAGACTTTATCTTAATCTAATATTGAATAAACATTTATAAGACGAATAATATTTTAGGACGGACGTGCCAAATACGTATCTAATATTGCAACATGAAATAGATACTTACTTTCTGTCTTTTATAAGTATACTTATATTCCTATAGCTTATAAATAAGGCATTTATTTCTCCGTAAGGCATACAACATTAGAATTTAATATGTTTATTTCATTATGAGATCGATCACCTCTGGTAATTTGAATAGTCCTTAAACTTATAATACTTTTTACATACATATATACTACAATTACCTATAGGGACAGATAGAAAGATGGAATGTAGAATATATAGTATAATAGTAGATAGAAACAAGGCACTTTTAAACGAAACGTACTCATTAAACGCGCAAACTTTAATTTTTACTGTATATCAACTTTCTAGACGAAAATATAGTAAAACAACATTTTAATTTGGTAACATATTAAATTGTATTCTGTATACTGTTGTATACCAGTTATGAACTTGTAATAAAAATTCCCAATTCATTACTGGTACACCACTGAAGATAGTAGACAAAAAATCATGAGTAAATTTAATTTTAAGTCGCTTTACTCTTTCATAAAATACCATCTTCGGGCCAGAGACTTGTCAGATACCCCCGAACGACACACTTTTATATTTTGTATAACAGTAAGTATATCTTTAATAAACTGTTAAATATACTGTAAAAACCAAAGTCGGCGGGTTTATTTATTATTAAATGCAAGAAAAACTATCTCGAACAAGACATCAAATTTCAGTCTTTTTATTGTTTTCTATTCTATAATAGGATAGTGTAATGAACTCCTTTAAATATACTATTCAGGACAGAACGCTTTTATCCTTGAAAGTAACTTTTTTTTTTCATCATGGTTTTCGAGCTTATCTCTTGGACTCACATCGATGTTTCTAAAGGTTGACTGTGTGACCGACTTGCTTCAGATAATGGAGTGGGGCTATTCTCTGAGTCTTCTAAGTCGAAATTGGTCTCCAATAAAGCTTCAGACTTAGATCTGTGAGTAAAGTCTGGCAGTGATGAGTCGTTGAATTCTCTCGATAGATCTTGAGGACTGGACTCGTAGCTCGGTATGTTCTCTGACATAGTGCTGTCGTATGCGTTAGAATAACCTGGCGGGTGAGGCGGACTCGGCAGGTTGTCGCCGTAATACTGTTGCTGATCTGTAAAATGTTTTTTTTATTTTTAGTTACATTAATTCGAGTTTAATATTTATTTCATTGGAGTTTAGTTTACGTCTATGATGTCTTAAATATATTTTTCAAATAAAATAAACTAGAAAGAGAGTTTCTGTTTGTTTGATAGACTTTCACGCTATTCCTGTTTTGATTTTTATAACGCGATTTTATGTTTTAACTACGGAACAGCCCGACACCTTCGCGTATTACATGTCGACAATATCATAACGTTGATCTTATACTTTATTTCTTTATCTTTATTAAGTAAACCAACAGCATAACAATATACTGCACGGATGGCGTAGTGGTTTATGCGGTCGCCACGCCGCTCACTACTACGCTGAGTGTTGTGAGTCACAAATTGTTGTTCTCAGTTTGGGTGTTCTTTGCTTTTATTCCTAGTACTGGAGGTTGTCGTTAAGATAAATAAATAATAATAATATATATATGTATGTTCGAGGAATTGCAACATAAACCAACATCTTGAATTGAATGTATGTGTATGTATAAGTAACATTATAAAGTAGACAGTTACATAATAGAAATTTAATTAATTATGTAAATGGTTACCCTACCTGCATTATTATTCCTCTGTCCGAAGGTAGTGGTCGGTATCGCTCCGGGCTGCGGTTGCTCAGGCATTTTAGACCTTAACTCCTTTAGAAAAGACAGTTTCGGTTGCGCGCCGTAGCTGTTGGCCGGAGCGCCGTACGGCCCGTACATCTTGCGATCCCTTTTTAGTGTATCATCGTTATCCCGCAAGGGCAACGTGTCTGATGTGAAGTATTGATTATTGTCGTTGTGCGGAGACAGAGCATATTCATCTGGAGGTGACCGCAGGCCCTCAGGGTGGTGAAGAATTGGTATTTCTTCAGTCGCGACCGTGTTTATAGACGGTGCACCGCTCGCTGTTCCAGAGTTCTCCCTGTAACCTTCGTTTCTAAAGCCTAGATTGTTATAAGGTCTATTATTGCTCGGCTGGGGTATTGAGTATTCTGGTGTGATCGGTTTCTTTACAAATGTGCTGTGTGTGAGCGGCATGACATTCGTGTTAGGGTTGTGAGCCTCGTAGATATCAAAACTTTGGTTGTCATCTAGTGACGAGTTAAATTGGCTTTTTTCCATTGATTCCATTGATGCTGTTGATGCCAGCATTTTCCTATAGTCTGATCCTTTTGTTAAAGTGTCGGTAGATCGGGTACTCTGTAAGAAATAACAGAATTTTAGGTGAGGTAGTAAGCAAACCTCATAGTTAACGATTAACAAATGGATCAGCAATACTAGTGCCTCGATTCTTTAAACCCAAGACAACATAAAATAAAATATTTATTTAGAATAAGATGTTACAAAAAGAAGAAGTGTTTACAGGGTTATACATTGTGTGACTGCTGTAGACACTTGAGCATAGATCAACGTAATAATAGAAGAACACTGACTCAAAAGTCACAGATGATAAACGTAGTTTGGGAGCCAGGATTCTATTCGTGTTACATGTAGACTGAACGTTTTATTTGTAACACTGTTGAAATATTATTTGTAAACAAGGTGTATTAAGTGTATTTTTTGCTAAATAAAGTTATTATATTATATTAATTTGTCAAAAATACGGTACATTAGTTGATAAAATCAAAAAGCAGCTAGATATATTAACCTATAATAAGCATTTTATTTTTAATTTTTTAATTTTTTTTTTAAATTTTACGATTAAAAAATTTACGGCGTCAATGCAATTTAAAACCAAAACTTAAATTTTGATTAAAATGTAAAATAGTAGATTTCTTGTTACTTGCTATAAAATACTACTTACAATTACTACTATGACGTCGCACTGAATTTGCATGATGTAAATACCGTCTTATTGGAAACGATATTGAAAAAAAAAATTTCTGAATATGACTTTTGATTGACCTACTTTCTAAGCAGTAGGTGGTAAAATACTCAAACTAGAAAAAAAATGCAACTCACCATTTGATGATTTAGTTTCCTCCTGTACGGTGTGTCAGGGAACCCACCGTTGATGCTGCCAATGGACCGAACCGAGTGTAGCGATTGCCGTATAGAATTTCGTCGCTCTAGTCTTTGGACATGTCTGTAAAAATAGGCATAAGACACAATAGGAAAACGGAACGTCATTGCTGTTTTTTTTTCTATTTTTAAAAATGTTTTTTATTCTGTAAATTTCTTTTGTAGTCCATGTGCACACTTAAATAACATTTATTTTATGGCTTTCAACTTCTCACAGTTTTTTTTTTTAATATTAGACATTCCATCAACCCACATGGCAGCAAATACTCAAAGTTACATTTACTATTATTTTTAAATTTAATTTGTCACTTTCAATACACGATATTTATATTGACAAACCCTACATTTGCCCAAAAACATTACGTTATTTGCGTGCTTTATGTACGACCCTAATATTTAGGGTCACCCCGGCCACCCTATTTTTGACCCCCCCCCAATCAGTATCAATGCTGAGGGGTGACCAATTTCAATAACTGACGTGCAGGAGATTTTTATTGTTTGTTGTTTCCTTTTATTATACTCTGTAATCTTTTTTATATTATTTTTCCTTTTTATTTAGTTCATTAGTAAACGTCACTTATGAAATAACCGTTTTTTCTTTCTTTCTTTCCCTTTCTTCATAGTAAGTCATTTCAATAATCCATTGCGCTAATCTCACCTGTGCTTGGACTTAGAGTACCAGCAGATGAGGGCAGCTCCTACCAGCAGCACCATAACTAACAGTACGCCAATAAACGCCACGGCTAACGTATCCCCTTGCCAAGACATGGGGTCAATTATAATCCTTGGGTCTGAAATAACACAAAATATATGAAACATCTCCAATTCATAACAGCCTTTAAAATTACAGTTAAATATTAAATTTGGTAGCGACACCTCAATTTTAATATTAATCAAATACTCTTTTACACACACACACAGACACACACACACACACACACACACACATTGGAGGTAGGACGAATGTTTTATGAACATCGCTACAAAGCATAAATTCAAATCATAATTTAAATATTTGAAGCCGGCGCGATGAGGAATAAATTCGTCTCATTCGTTAAATTTTATCCGACTTCAAAAAAAAGGAGCTGAAATTTTCGATTGGTTTTTTTTCGTATCTTACTCATTACATTGCGTACTTTATAAACAAATTTCAAACAATCTTTCTTTGATTGAATTGATTGTAAGTCAAGGTGCTAATAAAAAGGGTTGAAAATTAAGGTACGAAGAATACACCTTACTATAATTATCACGACTTTTCTCACGTAATTATACCTAATTATCCTTCTCAAAGTCTTTCTTTTTGTCAAACGCTCAAATATTTTTATAAAACTTACCAATCTCACAAATAAAAGCATGCTTCTGTTCGCAGTCAGTAATTTCCACATTCGAGAATGCGAAAGACGTGCACTGCGTCACATAATCGATATGGTTGACCCAGACCCTATCGCCGTATTGGAACCACTGGTTTTGTCGACTTATGAACTCGTATAGAACCTCGTAGTTACCGGTCACGAAGGGCATTGACGCATTATCCGACTGGAATAAAAAGTTGTTCAAATTCAAAAAGGGTTCATAAAAAGTTGATGTGTTTAAAAAGGATGGGGACGATGCATAACAGGTAGTTTTTTATCGGCAGGAAATACGTTTGGAAATAGTTGTGTTGACTTTAATGGGTGTAGCAATGACTGCACGGATGGCGTAGTGGTTTAAGCGGTCGACATGCCGCTTTATTCTATCAACACATGGGACGACACTGTGTTATCCACAAATTTTGTTCTGAATCTGGGTGTTCTTTGTGTTCGTTTCATGTATGTTTGTAAAGTCCCGTCGCGACACATGATATATTCTCATGCGGGAGTTGTCTTCTTTAAGAAAAAATATTTTTTAGCTTGAAAAGAAAGCGTCTTTCATGAAATAATAAAAACCATTATTATTCCAACAATTTCGATTCTCGGAATAATACAGTGAAGCAAGCGTTTACAAAGCAAACAAACAAGCACCTATTAAAAACATAAATTCATGAATTTCAAGAATAATTTATGACAATATTTCAAAAATAGTTGAAATCACACGTTTTTATAGAGCTACATATTTTATACAATAATCATAAACACAAGTATCGTAATATATTATGTATTATAATTTTTTTACAACTGATTACAACATGTTTTTAATATTTTAAAAAAGTAATTTTACACTCAGAAATAAAGTTTACTAATCACGGAAATATCAAAGGAATTTGGACGCATTTTGGTATGGATCACCAGCGTGCTTGAATAACATCAGAAGTAGAAGTAAAGATATCGAAACCAAAAACTAAAAGTAGGTACTCACTAAACAGAATCTTCTCGCGTCCTCATAGGTCATGGGTGCTCCTACATACATGTAACATGTTCCAGATATTACATCCCATCCAGGTGGACATTTCCCGCCACCTAATACCGTTTGGTTATTCATATAGAATGGTCTGAAATCCACCTCAAGCAATAAAGGGTTATCACTTTGGTCCCTTATTCTTCCTGCAACTGCTGAGGTCTCGTTGTAACTCCAGAAGTTGTGCTTAGCGTCGATACGAGTCCGCCAAAGTTCAAATGCACTGTAAAGTTTTTGTTTTACAATTAGAAACAAAAGGAATTCGTTTTTTGAATTAAACCAATAAGTTTCACTGAAATTAAAAGTTCTAATGTACAAATAAACCGTACACAAACTAACACATCTAGGCAGAAGAATTAAAATAACATTTAAGCAAAACGGTAACCACTCATACAACATTCACTGCAAACACTAACGTACAATGTATGCTTGTAACAAGAGTGACTACACTTGCGGCGAGGAAAATGACCCAACCACAGATAAAATAATTTAAAAAATACTAGAGCAATGAATGACGACCTAATAGCATGACTAAGTCTTCTTACGCATTTGTTAATTGAATAAGTCGTTGTTTGGGACGATCTATGATGAAGCTATAATTAAGAGAAGATCGTAGCTTTTTTCATAAAATACTGGTCATGTGTGATTCTGACTCGTGCGGCGAGGGTTCCGTAGACATAAGGTAGTTCGCCCATCTTAGGAATCGATTCGCCAAGATTTTTGACCGTTGGTTTGGGTTTTAAAAGACCAACTCACAATTTTAAAAATTATTTCTTATGCATAAGACTGACTATTTCCTATTTATTATACATAAGATCGAACATTTTCTATATCTTACATGAATTTTTCAGGGTTTTTTTCCAACCTTACTTATATATTTCAAAAAAAGGTTTTATTTTTGAAAAAAATATAGTGATATTAAGTAGATGGCATTCTTTAAATTTAAATTATCTATAAGCCTTAATTATCATATTAACAGATGGTTTCTTAATTAACTTTAATACGGCTACCTTGAATGTAAATTCTCAATGACTTCTTTTAGGGTTCAAATTTGGTTTAAAAGCGGCACAGATATCAAACAAATAATAACATGCATATACAAATGAACAGCATTGAAAGCCTTTTTTAAGATTAACATACAACATACATTTAACATTTAATTAGCATACAAACAAGACAGCAAAAGATGATTAGTAAGCGATGGGACAATAGTTGTGTGCAAAACACTTGTTATTGACATAATTAAAGTAAGACTCACCTTTGAATATTCGGATTATATTCAACAAAGCTATGGTCCGGATAGTCATGCAACAAAAAACATGCAAATAAATATTTTTGAATAGGAACGAGGCTGCAATATTCATGCAAACTTTATTTTTTATAAATATATTGCCCAACATAATAATACGGCGTCCATTTAAAATCCCGGGTCGGCTCGTGCTTAGCTAGCCAGGTGCGCTAACATAAAAACTAACTAACGTAAAACGGTTCTGAGTCACCCAAAATTAAAATAAGCAATTTAATAAAAGGTCTACATCCCATAATGTTTACGTACTAGAATTAACCAATAACGGAATACTTATTACATGGGTTTACTTGGTCACGTGGATGATATACCCGTACATGGCCAGAAAACACACTACAAAAATATCCGGAAAAGTGCGGATGGGTGAGAAACCTAATTCATGGATTCGACGACAAATGCAACACTGCGCCATTCAGCCAGTGAATGTGGCCAGTACAACCTGGTCAAAACATCACGCATTTCTGAGTTATTTAATAATACCTATTACGTGATTGCGTTTATTCTAAACGTAAATAAATTTATATAAACGTAATTAATAGAAATGTTTACTTTTTTCAACAAAATTTCTAACGAAACACAATAATCTTTAAGACATTTAATATGTAATTAATCAAAGTCGATACTTCCAGTGATAAAGAAACATATAAAATTAGGTACAACATTCCATAGCAGATATCGGTTAGAGAAACATTTTGTTATATATTTTATGTTGATAGAACATGATACAGTCAACGAAGAGCTAATAAAATATTGACCAACTCTTCGCTGATTGGATACATAGGTATAGAAGTTCCTCTTGTCATTAAAACTACTTACATTGATCGATTAACGGTAATCATCTCGTAATCATTGTCGGGGTTAAAGAAAATGTTGTCTACGTAACTTTGGCCAGCAGTGCCGGCAACTACAGTAGCTCGCCCCTCGCGGTCCGTTGCATAATTTCTGAAAAAAGAAAACAATTCTTTATTGTTTCTCGTATAGTCGCAGCTTCTTTCATGTCACAACACAACACACGTGTCTTGAAAAAAAAACATAATAAATTTCTATGATGTGTCTTTGGGAACACTCTCCTATCTATGGAATTTTAAATATAGAACCACTTCGTTCAATGATGTAATTACATAATAATTTTGTGTGTAAAACTACATTACACCATTACATAAATTACATGCATTATATTCTTTTCAAATTATTAATATTTTTTTACTAAACTTTATACTAAACTTTTTTTGTTTGTTATGTTATCATCATCATCAGTGTATAATGTTGACCACGTCTTAATCCCTAAAGAGATACACGCCTCCGGGCAAAACATAGAGGATCTACCTATCTGTAACATCTCACACTCTGTTGTAATTTGACTTTTTACAAATAAATAATTCTGATTCCTTGGAATAACAAAGTTACTTAATAAACTTACCTGTAAAATCCATTATGTGAAGTAGTCTGATAAATCGGCAACCGGACTTGATCAAAACCTGAGACTTCGAGGATCCTCATACCGGTGTTATCATGAACATAGTTGTGCGTGAAGTTGGAAACCACTTGTCTTAATACGATTACGTCATAATACTGCACTTGGTTACGGGTGAAGTAGTTCCGATAGATGGTTACTTCTTGATAAGATGAAGACTTTCGACCTGTTAAAAAAAGTCTTAGATGAGAAATATTGGAATATAGCAGCTCTCTTGGTCTTTAGTAGGTCTGACTGCAGAGACACAGGTCGTGGGTCTGATCAATAAGAGGTAAGAGGAAGGTCAGGTAAATTCAGTCGGAAGGTAAGGCTCACTCGACGGCGGCAAAGCCAAGTCATCGTAACTCGACAAGCGACATTACGGCACTTAGTATTACGCGCCATTGAGTAGGGGGCTAAATAATTGTATTATAAGCGTGATCATTTATTCTGTGTATGGATTTATGGATAACCTCCTTTCTAAGGAGAGGCTTATGTCCAGCAGTGGACTATTAAAGGCTGTTGATGATGGATTTACCTTCTACTTTAAGACATGGCAGGTCGTGATTTTCTAAGAATAGATTATTATGTATCCATCCTCGAAGCGAAGTGGCGATTCCACTAGAATCAGCTCTAATCGATATTCCACCTACATTATTGCGTACTAAATTGTTCTGAAAGAAAAACGTATAATTTAGTTCCAAACTCACTGTTAACAACATCTTTTAAAAAGGGTATAGAGACTTCAAACATGCAGCTACATCACATACACATACGTTATGTTTAATTTGCATTCCACTTCATTCCTTAAATTTTCCATCTTAAGGATAGAACTTTTCTTCTAATTTGAATGGGGGAAGTTTGTAAAACATCATCTTCCAAATCGGTAATAAATGACGGGAGTTCTTAGATAACAAATATTTTAAAACTACAAGCGAATTAAGAGCCTTCTCCTTTTTTGAAGTCGGTTCAAAATGTAAAACTTACCCTGAACACTATTGTTTGTGTATTCTGTATGTCGAATCTAACGGCGGATTGACAAGAAGTAAAGTTTCCGTACAATTTTTTGCAGTTTTCGACTATTTCATTTCTAGTTATGGCTACTAGCGGATTGACTTCACCAACGGACTGATATGTAATAGCACCTTCCCTGTTATTTATAAATTCACTGCTGGATATATTATGTTGTATATCGCGATCTGAAACAAAAGAAAAACATCTATTTTAATTTGGGTTCGTGCAAAAGATTTTCTTATTCAATCTACTTGAAAAAAAGTTGGATACTTACTAAAACCAATAGCAGATATCGGCAAAGTTACAATCTCTGCAATAAATCCATGTACAGCCGACGCCCCATTTGCAAATAGCCTAATACTTAAACTCGGACCCTGTGTCCTGAAAAGCATCTTTTCATCAGGCGATCCGTGCTCTAAGTATCCAATCACAGACGCTGTTATATTATAAATATCGCCATCATATAAAGTCAGAGCGTCTCGTTTACCATAACTTGTTGTATGATTAAACAGATTAAATTGAAGCAAACGAAATCCAAATGGTTTTACTCTGAACATGCTCTTAAATATCTTGACGCAATTTATAGGGTTATTGTCGTATTTGTAGTATAGCAATACGCGCTCTTCAACAGTTATCATTTTAGTACTATCGCAAATGTCGATCATCGAAAACAAGTGGTAAGGTAGATTTAAACCTTTCAGTGGTGTAAAGCTCGACTCGTGAGATTCTCTGCCTTCGCCATTCAATGATATGGCATTGACACCTTCCCCTAATAAGTCTCGTACATAATTAAATCTCATATTTATAGTATCGGTGGGTGAAATCAGATTAATGCCATGATGGGCACATTTTGTAATGTTTACATTTTGTATTCTTGGATTCTTAATAATGCTCTGAATAGCAGGTGACTTTTCATTATGTAGAATACCAGCACCGATTATTTGAACATGAAGTAATTCACTTTCTGATTTTTTCATAGTTTCATGAGTGTGATGGTCGTGAATTCGATGTTCATAAACGGAATATTCGAATTCCGGATGTGCAAATCTTATACCACCCCAGTACTCAAGGTTCTCATCTAGATTTCTACTGCCACAATGTATAAATATGAACTTAGAATCCCATTTGCATTCATGTCTATGACCGTAAAGTTGCCCATTTAATCTGATTGGGCAGTTTTCGTATCGGTCTTCGGTGCCTACACATTGCAAAGGCTCTGGCCATGACCATATTCGCGAGAGTGAATTACTGTGATATTCCACTCTTCGATCGTGTGCAAAAAATACATTAATGGGGTCAAATCCAAGCTCTCTGCAGACTACTTGAGCATTTCTTTCAGTAAATCGATTGTCACACATGGGTACCCACTGCAGTGTAGTTTTGTTGTAATATTCTAAAAATCCCTCATTTATTTTCTCTGCTACATTATCGGTGATAGAACAATTTCTGCTTGTGCACAGCCGAATTGAGTGTGGAAGACTCAATGACTCTAATTGACGCCTATGCTTTTGATGGCTAGACGAATATTGTCCAAGATCTCTTTTCATTCTACCGATTTCAATATTGGTCTCTGGAGTTATGGGCCTCATTACTATAGGTGATTGGCCATGGCCTATTGCGTAAAGATATCCCAAAACTAATATGCCAACGTTTGGTGCGAACTCAAGAATAACACCTGGACTAATAGTTAATACAACATCTGGCATTACAGTAATGTCTGTTCGGACTATATAAGGCGCGATTCTGGATTCTATGGTGAAATTAGATGTTAATCTGCCTCCTAACGCATCTACATCTATGAAATTATCTGAAATGAACGATGCAGATATACTGGCATCTATACGATCTTCAAGCAAATAAGGTACATATGTTGCGATAGCGTGATTGTTCCAATCATCAAAATCAAATATTTGCTTCCTGATTTCTTGGTCTTGGGTAGTTCCCCACCAATTTTCTGTTACATCTAGTAAATTATTAATCTTTGCAGTCCTTATGCCAGCTAATAAAGTATATTCCAAAGCGTTATTTCCAAGCAAATTCCTGCTTACTTTAACTTTTTGTATCCCTTTAAAACCTATGACATATGTTGGATCAACACTTCTTATTAAACTACCTCGACTCATCTGAGACAGAACATGCTTGTTATTCTTCACTTGGTTGTAAACAAAAAGGGCGTAAACAAGTCCCATGATTTCACTTTGACTATCCATGTGGAATTTAATCATAAATTGTCCGTTATTCCTTTCAATAAAGTTGCCATCGATCATCATTTTCTTTTCCATTCCTTGAATTGAAAGTAGACCAGTCTTACAATAGTTGTCAGTGAAAATGTTCTTTGTGATGTTAACTTCTGCAAAATGCCCATCTATAACGACAGCGAAGAACTGATTGTTGCGCCAAGTATTATTATGCATGTATACGGAATGAGTGAAATTCTCGTTATACTGCCAAACATACGGCAAATTCACATCAAATCCACCTTGTCTATTCCTCTCTAAGGTATTATCTTGTAAGATGTAGTGATACAAATTATTAGAGCTCCTTAAATCTCTTGCAAAATGATATATTCCTCTGCCGTTATCAGTAATTAAACTACTGTTCACCATAATAGTTATTTCAGTTATGTTACTTTCATGAATGTCCCAAAAAGGCGTGTTTACATAAATAGCTTCTTCTTTATTATATGCAATTTCACAATTAAAAAGCTTGATACTCTCATTAGCTTTTCTTAAAAAGTGATCACCTAATTCATTTAAAAACCGATTGTAATATAAAGCTTTTACACCTTTAGTATTACCCTTTATTTTTGAATTTACAACTTGTAGTGTTGGAACAGGACCCTTAATGATTCTATTTCTAAGATTTTGTACTGGGGCTGCTATTGTACTAACTACAAGGACAACACCACCTAAAGCATTAGTTCCACTCTCATATGTGAGTACTACTCCAAAACTAGTACTTGTGGTTGGGAAAGTCGATAGATCACGATCTAAACACCATTGAACACTTGCTTCATTTATATTTTGCGAATCATATATGCAAATATTTTCCGTTGAAAAATTATGAATGGGATTCAAAAGCTGAAGTCCAAGAACATAACCTGGATTACATCTAATATTATAAGTTTTTGATATGTTTTCTCCAGGCCGGTTTCTAAAAACTAAGTGTCTAGTTTCTAGATTCACTAAACTTATGTCCGTTTCATAATCAGGTATAATTATAGGGCGGAAACTGGATTCATCTATGTTAAATCCAGGATCAAAATTGAACCAACCTGCTAATTCCCTTTGTTGTGCACCAGGAATATGAGGATTGTGAGAAATACCAGCTATGTTATTGTTTTCAATTACAGAACTGTATACTTTAAGCCCTAATTGCTTGAAACTTATACCACTACCTTTATTGTTGCTAAATTCAGAGTTGCGTACAGTATTTACCGCATCTGCTCCATACAAATCTGAATAAATAATTCCTAAACCATCATGGTAATTATTAGTTATTTTAACACTTTCTAAACTATGTCGGGCAAAATCGATTTGAAGTGCGGGTTTAAAAAGATTTGATGAATAATCTAGAAGGCCAGCTTTTTCTATTGTGACATATTGTAAGTCAGCTCTTTCAGAAATAACACTAAATCTAACTCCAGCCCAACTAGTTTCATAACATCTGATTCCGACATCATTTTCGTGCGTACAAGAATTTTCGAAGTGCTCCCTAGTTTCTGCTCTGCATCTTGTAATATCATTATCAAATTCTGTACATTCAACATTCGATAATATGATATCTTCTGCGGTTCCTGCATCGGGGATTTCATTAGGTTCTAAAAACCAATCATCTGGATTCAGAGCAAGTCCTAGTTGGTTGCAGACAAGAGCAGCGTTCAAGATATTCCATCTATAATTGCACACAGTTCCCCACTTATCGTCTATTCTAACCTGTAGCCTTCCTTCATGTTGTGTTCTTCCACCTAATAATCGTATGGGTACAATAGGTTCCGCGTACCCAGGTGTAGTTGGTTCAAAGTCTGTTTCATAAACACTATCATTTGTCATAACAATTTCCTCTTTTAAAGTAAAAGTAATATCACTAGGTCGCTTGCCTCTTGCGTCCAATCTACCAGCAACCATTATTCCTATGGCAGGTGGAAATTTTAAGGTTACTCCCGATTGCAGAACTAGTTTTCCACCGGGACGAATATTAATATCTTTGTTGACGTCATATTCTCCTTGTCGAAGTATTTCTATACCTTCAACTTCACCTCCAACAACAAATGATCCAGGCATATTAAACTGAGGTACATAAAGTGAATTAAAATTAATTTGCGTAGCCCCGGGATTACTGCTATGCAATAAATATGGAATGTATATAATTTTCGCCAAATTATATCTATCTTTCCTGTGGAAAAGTCTGTTGTAAACCTTTTCTTCTTCACCAAATCCCAGCCAATTAAAAGTACAGTTCAATATTTTGCTCTGATCTTCAACATGGGAACCTATTTCATATTGAGCTTCCGGATTATTAATAATATTTCTAAAAACGTCAATGTTGCTTGATGCCAGCACAATCACTGCAGCTACTCTACTTCTTGGTATAAGTCTTGACGATATGCCCTCCAAGGGCTCAAATGGTTCTCGTATTCTATTGTCACGTAGAAAATTTCTCGTGAAGAGAATGTATTGGAGGTTACTGTAAGGAGACAGGCCAAGGCTTACCACAAAAGGCCCCCTATTACCAAAAAAATAATTATGTTGTATATTAAATCTAGCAGGTAATATTTCAAATTCTTCCAAGAAAATTCCATCTATTCTATTCAAAATCACGATAGCACCATGATTACCATGTTCAAAGTAATTGTGTTCTATTCTCCCGAATACATTGAGTGCCGGTTGGATTTTTAGGGGAACTTTTTGGTTTTCATAAAATCTGTTGTGACCTATTTGCAAATAAAGTAGCTTGTTAGGACTATTCAGCCTCCAGCAAGTTGATATCTCTACAGTGCTTTCCAGACTGGTATTGAACCAATTACCCGTTATATTAACCCAACTGTCACCGCAATAGTTTCCATGCAGTATACCAACATCCAAATTCTTAAAGATTTCAGAATACTCAACTACAGTTGTTTGGTTTACTGGAACATATTCAGTCTCTTGAGTAGTATTGACCCAAACAGCGATGCCATAACCTTGATTGGAGCTTAATATACTTCGTGATATATTTCTATTTCCTCCTGTAACAGTAATATTAATCCCGTCGCCTTGATTAAATGATATTCTACTTTCAGTGACATTTACGTCTCCTGCACCGCTAACTACTTGAAGTCCAGCGACATGATTGTTATTAGATATTGAAGTACGATGAATGTGAATCTGTGATCTTAAATTCTCTATAACCACTCCTCTACCATTATTGTCAGATATAATTGTATCAGTGACATTCAAATCATACGTTTTTGTTACACCTGATGTCAGTCTCAGAAATCCTGTAATATCTGTCCTCGTGTTCGCTCGAAATCTCACGTACATGCGGTTCATTGTTGATGTAATGCTTTGCGGTCGAGTGTGATTTCTAATACTAAACGATAGTATAAGTCTATCGTCAGTGCTTAAGCCGTCATAGATAAATATCTCTCCTGTATTATTTTCATTAGTCAAAAGCTTAATAAATGTTAAAGTTAGAACGTGGTCAGTTCTGGTAAAGAATTTTTGATGGCAATCTCTCTCCATGTTTGAATATCTCGACTGTTCGATAGACATTTGAATTGGGAATGTCTGACTGGATGTAGATGCTAAAGTACACAAGTCAAATATTTCGCTTCTATCGAATCTTTCGTCCATATTCATTTCGTGCACCACATATTTAACTCCGTCTCCACCATTATCGTGAATCAAACAGTTCTCAATTCTTGCCATGCCAAATGTAGAATTGACATATACACCGTATCCTCTATTGTTTTGTATTGTGCAATTGTTGATTGATATAGGAGCGTTGGGTGACGTGACGTTTATAGCGTTGAAGGCGGAATTTGATACTTCTATGTCTTCCATCACTGGTGGAACACCTATTATATCTAAGGCACTTGTAGCATTATTATCTCTTCCAAGACCTGCGTTTTTTATAACGATATGCTCGAGTCTAGACATCGATGTTGGAACAAAAAGAGTATTCCCTGCAGTCAGAATTCTTTCGTGAACAGCGTTTTCGAAGCGTACACCCCTCCAATGGCGTCCGGATCCCCCTTGTTCATTAACGTCATGGTGTGGGGAACATTCGATAGCAAGGTCTGGGTGAAAATCGCAAACGCCTGAACCAAGTTGTCTGGAATTCCAATCACATTGAAATAAATCATATTCTGTTCCTTTACATTTCGGTTCTTCGAACAAGAGCCTCGATCGTCTACCGGGCTGTCTATCCATCCAGTTATAAAAAGAACCACCCATGAAGCCAAGCTGCCTGCATGCTGTTTCCATATCATTCAACGTCCAGCTGAAAATTAAAAACAATGTACCTATGTTTTTATTGATATCATATCGAACGGTTTTATGAAAAAAAAAATACTTTTAGAATTTCCTATATACTACTCTACTCAAGTTACTCAATTTATTTATAATATAAATTTATCTGAATCACTAGTATCTGCTGGCTAATTAAATTAATGTGCTTTCTATTACTAACTTTCTGGAATTTGTACAGACTGATCTCCACTGTCCACGATGTAATAGCTGTACTCTTCCGACCAAAATAGACGGTCCATCTACCAGGCGTATATCTGGTATAGGTCTGGATGGTTTGACGGGCTCTTCTGTACTCGTAAATGTTATAAGGTTCTGACTGCTACCCTGAAAGTAAAAGAAAATCACTGTTTATATAAAATATAATTCGGATTAGTAACATTTCATAGTAATTTGAATAGCATATTTTGATGGAGCATTTTATTTGGATATACCTGAGCTAGTAGTAGAATTAATGCTAAATAATAAACTGTCAAGTAGCAGCTCCAAAATCACATGGTAATTTATAAAAAACGGTAAAATTAGAACAAGTGTATGTGTCCAAAATTATTAAATTCTCATTATTAGTGATAATGGATTATTTTTTATACCTAACCGAGTGTAAAAAATTATTACGACAACTTGACCTTTTACTGTGTTCATTAGATGAGATCCATCGCAGTGTTATTTATGTTATTTTTTATTTTAATACTTTATGCACAAATTTCAATTGTACAAAGGCGGACTCAATGCCTGAGGCGTTTTCTCCCTGACTACCTTTGGGTGATGGGGAACTGTCTGACTAGGTGCACTAGATACAATTTTTTAAAGAGGAAATAATAATTGAGATGGACAGAAACAGTGGGATAAATATACATTCATAACGAAATACACATACATATATACTTTCTGAGCTACATACACACATATACAATCAACAGCCTTTACTGGCCCACTGCTGGACATAGGCCTCTCCATTGAAAGGAGGTTTTAGCCCACAAAAAAAAAATACACATACATACACAAATAAAATTATATATGAAACTTTAAGGATGTGATAAATCTGCTAGAGTGTGTAAAAAGTGAGCTCGGACTTTCGTCTTGAATAAGAAGCGTTATCATTGTTTACGATGAATGCAAAAGCAAATGGATCAATTGATTGATCTTAGTTAAAATTTTTGTAGATCCTCAATAGATGGCGTTGTACTGGCTTTCTAGATCGCGGTATGGTTGCGTTGCACCGTCTTGTACTTAATATATAATATTTTTATAAATAAAGAGGTCGATCAAGATCGGAATACAGCGCAGTGGTTTCATTTCACAAACCCTACTCTAGTGTTCTCATTCAGTACACCCACCGGTCGACCGCAGATCGCTACACCTAGCGGTGTGTCGAACAATCATATTGCTTAAATAACGAATTTGCTTAGTATATTATGTTCATAAAAACAGCTTTAATGTTCACAATATAATTATCCCACTATCCTTTTGTGATTAGTTTATCCGATAAAAAACCTAAAGTTACTGACATAACTCGAAGAATAGACATGCTGAAGACGGTGGGCTGGTCACGTCTGCCGAAGTACTGATAGAAGTTAAGGAAAAAGGGTCCTAAACTGGAGACTGCAGATTGGAAAACAGCTCCCTTTCCAGCTTCCGCTAGGTAAACTGGCGACCTAAAGAAGGCAGCTGAGACCAATTGGATGGAGGAGGTGAAGAAACGTGTACTATGGCGCAAATTCGGACTAGCGTTCGATTTTACCGTGACTACGTCCAGCAGTAGATTGCTATGCCATAATTGAAATTACAACATGATTAAAATATTGTATTGTTACTAATTCAAAAATGTTGAATGGATATATTTCTCAAGCGCAAAAAGCATGAAGTCAGTCAAGTACACTACAGAAGAATGGGCGGATATGAAGAAAATTTAGCAATAACATTTATTGTTCTTTAAGGCAACTTGCTAAGTGACCGTTTCAATGTGAATCCGCTTAGTTCGTGTTCAAAAGGAAATTGTTTTGAGCCAGTCCGTTGAAAGTCCAACTTATGTAAACTTTGTACCAACTGTATTCGTTATATTGTGCAAATAGCAAAAAGTATGTTATCTTATTCGAGCGGATGGCAGTTGGCGGCAACGTGGGAGTCGACAGATATTTATTATTTTTTATTGACAAACATCATTGAAGAATTATTACTTACGGACGCACTAGAATCCTAAATAATAGTAGAGTATTAGTAGATTTTGTTCGTTTTTGTGCTATACTTTCACGCCGTAATTACTCGACTGATTAAATTAAGCAACCTCTATGTTCGAGGTAGAAAAAATGATGTTGAGATAAAGGGCCTTTCGTCCACCTAGTGTGACCTAGAGTGACTACCAGCACCCATGGCCACCTGTAACTCAAGGCTAAGCTTTGTGCTTTTTACCTCTTTTTGTGTAAAATAAAGACCTTATCAATTCTTTTTCTGAATCTTAATCTATCGCAGCTGTGCCCTTTTATGGGTTTACTTTAACACAAGCAAGGTTTTATATTTTCAATTATTCATTATTATTATGTGACGGCTCTGGTGTGGTCGGACTCCTAGTCACCTGGTCAGAGATCGTGGGTTCGAGTTTAACCCGAGACAAAAAATTATGTATGATGAGCACAATCATTTATTTTGTGTCTAGATGTGATTTAGAAATATAGCTGTAAGTACTTTCATCAGTCTGGATACTACAATTCATTAGCTATTACACAAATATAAAGTGATGTCATGATTAATGATGTATATTTTAACATGAATGACTAACTCCACATTTACATAAAATTGTCATCAAATAATGGCCATCGACACTCAATACGTATGACGTCACACCCGGAGACATGCGCTCGCGCCGGTCGATAGCCCATTTCAATGCGTTGCGCCCTTGCACTTCGTTTCTATGGCTTCCTGCCTTTTCATGCAACCCCATTCACATGGTCACGTTCTAATGCCCAACTATAATTTAGCCGTTGCTAAATTGGAATTCAGATGATGTAATTTCGATATAGGGGAACTTTGAACACTAAAATAATGACGAGAAATTTACTTATCGGTTGAAAAACAGAAAAATGTTTCTTAAAACGAGAAGGAGATCGGAAACAAGCACTTTGAAATAAAGTAAAAAGTTTTGACCGTTTACGTGTACTGCCAACTTATGGCTGTATACACTAGACTTAGGAATAGGTTAAGATTTACATATCTGTAGGTGTTGCGGTTAGGCGATAGCTATTTCGCAGCATTACTGAAGGTTGTTTAAAATGTCACTAAGACATGCTTTCAAATTCTAAATCTTACAGCAATAACAATCAAACGACTCGTTAAATGAATATTTATATAGAAGGTGCATTACTTTTTATGTCGCCCTTTTTTTAAATAAACAAAATATTGTACTGTGTGCACGACAAGATACAATGGCTTAAGAACTTTTTTTACTGTTCTGTTCGCGTCATTCGGAATGTTTTAAGGCAGGTCACAGACGTCCGTTAAATCGTTACGCCTGACCGCCTATCAAAAAGAATGATTACAAAAAATACCTTACTGAAGTTACTGATGGAGTACGGGCATTAAAAGGACGATGCAAGGACGTGGTCGATAGAGTGAGTCAACAATATACGTATGAGTATTAAGTTCATTCGCTTTTTGTTACATTCCATTTTTTTAAATAACAACCGTTTGTTTTGTGACGTAAGACTGGCATTGACATATCAAATATGGCGTTCGTGGGTGTTCGTAGGTTGCGAACTTGATGTAGTCTGTTTACCTTGTCTGCAATGAAAAAGGATATATTGTATGCATTGATTACATGTTTTACTTAATTTTCTGAATCATCGTAATGTGGATACAGGGCCATCAATTCGTATCTCACAACTGTTTATCTATTATGTTCTCTGTATAGGTCGTTTTATCAGAAATAAATTACTACTTTATCTATAAAGCAGAAGTTTATTCAACGTTACAATCCTAACGTATGATATGAAAATTATAGGTATGTATCGGGAGAACCTGAGGAGTTCAGACCGTCGCGCGTCGGTGTAGTCACACAGTCACACGTCAATGACATTATATATTATATACATGTGACCAAAGATTGTCTTTAACCATTTTTTTATGCTGATATACAAGCATAGAGAACGTCGGTCTTAAACGATTGCCGTATCTTGTGCATTCCCTATGGATATTCGAATGTTAAAGCAAAATAATATGAGAAGATTTGTTTGGCATTGGCAAAACATGTAATCTCTGTTTTATGCAGAACTAATTTCTTATATAAACATATCTCGAATTCAAGTTCAATACTATTGAACTCCATTGAATTGTTCTATGATAGGTGATCAAGGCCAAAGTCGTCAAAAGTAATTTAAGATGAAGTTTCGTGTTATTGCAATGGCTGTCTAGACTGACAATATGTATGAGTTCTATTGGATACACACTTACAATTTGTATCAGATGTTCATGGTTAATAGAAATGTAGTTTAAATAAAATGTTATTGTTATAAGTCTTTCTCTTCCTGGTTTATAACTACCATTTTCACACTGTCATTTAAGACAGAGAACAGGCTAATTAATAAAAAAGATATTTTCGAATTAACATTTTTTTTTTTTTTTTGTTATTTATATTGGGACCACTTATACAAAAAACAACTTACGTCTTGTAAATTACGGGAGATAAAATATTTCATTTATTCTAAAATAGCAGTTTTCTATTAGAATTAAACTTTAAAAACAAAAATACTCATTACGAGTACTAATCTTGAGTATTTTAACGTTAAATTACAACAGTTTAGTTGAAAACATTTCTGATTATTATAAAAGGCTGCCATTTTTTATATTTGCATATTTTATCGTTTTAAATAAATAGTTTTCTTTGCATAAACTTCTAAATTTTTTTGTTACCCGAACTTTTCCAAGACTTAAATTGTTTTATTTCCTAATATATTACTTAAAAATAATTATTGTTTCAATAGGGGGAATTCGGGACCTCGGTCCTGATGCCAAAAGCCCCACGACGCTACAGAGGGTTCCATAGAAACATGTACAGTACATACACTCAAAAATCAATACCCTCCTTCTGGAGCAGTCGTAAAAATGTATACACTCTTATGTACAATAGCTAACTTGCACTATTCCAAATAACTACGTTATTATACAGGTACCTAGTATTGATTTTATTCATCGTCTGTTACACAAGTTAGAACACGAAATAGGTGAGTTGTGGGTAACTCATAACGTGAGTACCTCTTGTTTTTATATTGCAGTTTTAGCAGAGAATTGCACTCCTTTCTAATCTTACAGCTCAAATACCCTTTCTTTTTTCTGTG